TACCTGAAAGAGTTTGCCTGGCAGCCATAGCCGTGCACAAAGATGGGCACCAAGTAGCCATAGCTAGGTTGAGTGTGCAAGGGAGGAAGAAACACCGAGGGGTATTCACAGAGACAAGGGGCACAAAGACAATTTTGTGTAATTGAGCTGATTGGCCGAGATTATCTTCGAGCTTCATCACACGTCTGCTTCCTGAGTGCGTTGTGAGTTTGGTGCACAAGTGCCGTGCATGCATGGTCCCAAAGCTATTGGTATCATAGCAGACTCTCATTACCTCTCGGAAGGGTGTGCAAGTGGGACAGCCGTTGTACGAGGTATAAGGCGGGCGAGCGAGGAAGAAAGGTGAAGCGTGAAGAGAGGTTAGCCCCCCTGAATGTCGTGCGTCCCTCATGTTCTAAAACAAACAGCCTCAATGTCACCCAGGCCCGATAATGACCCTGTCTGGGATGGGGCTGGCGCTGGGCCGTGGCTTCGCAGCAGGCCTCCCACCTACTCTGCTGCCGTCTTGATTCACTTTCGGGTAAGGAATTCCCATCTTCAATTACCCACCTTTTCCCCTGCCGAGTACGTTCCCCCTGCCGTGGCGTAGCCGCGGCGCGTTTACTTGTACTCTTACAAGTAAGAGTGGGTCTTACATGATCGTCCCATGCAAGACACTGCCGCCTGTGTTGGGAAAATAGTCGGCGAAAGGGGGCGGGCCGAATGAGGTATCCAGCTGGTGGGGGAAGGGGGGGAAGGGTTGCCGTTGATGCACCCCCGACCAAAATTACGTCGATAGAGAAATGGAAAAAGTTGTGGTCGAAGTATGCCCTAGGCGGTGGTGAGCTCGGCGGTTTCATGCTTTTTTTTTTCTTTTTTCTTTCTGAAAAACGGGTCCTTCTGGCCTTGGCTCCATATCCATTCTTGGGAGCGTCAGTCCGGTTCGTTTTTTTTTTGTTTTTTTTTTTTTTTAAGGATTTTTGCCTCTTTTTTCAAAATGGAGAACATGAAAGATACACACACACTCCTCCCCATTATGGATGGGAGGTCCAAGAAGGCGGCATTGATTACTTCCATGAGGAAGGATGTACCACCCCTCTCCCCTGCCTAAGTTATCCTATCTTACTTCATTTATTCAAGTGCAATCTTGCCCCGATAAGCCTTTTCCTCTCAGGCCCTGTAAGGGTACCTGCCGGATGGGTCATAGAAACCAAGAAAACCTTTAGCTATTGGGCTGTTTCCCCCTGCGCTACCCTTACCCCGTATATTACCTATGAGGACTCCTTCCCTCCATTTGCCTAGAATTACGCCATCCCTTATCCCTCATCATCCCGAATCCTTCCTGGGTGGCTGCAATTCTTTAACCCTAAACCCTCCCTGTTTAACACTCATCCCGACCCTTAAACCCTAAACCCTTTCTGAAACCCTAAACCCTCCCTGTTGGCACTCTGTTTTCCACCGGCTACGACCCGTAAACCTGCCCTTTGATCAATATCTTTGGTCTGTCCTTTCTATTCTGCCTCCCCGCTTACCCCCTCTTCCTCTTCACCCCCCTCTCCATTTGAAAATCAGATGTGGTCCTTGGATGGTTGCTATTGCTCCATTGCCTAACGTATTCTGCTTGAAGCATTTTGCGATGGCTTCCTCTTGCTCGGGCTGTTGACGTGCTTGGTTCCTCACTACTTTCCACTGGGCCTTGAGATGTATTTCGAGCAGTGTAAGGAAGATCTCCTTTGCCTCCTGTCTATGCATTATTGTACCCTCTCAAGTGTGGCTTGGCATCGACGCTTCCAAATAGTCCAGAGACAGTACTGGCGTATCAATTGGAACATATGTTTCTGAAAAGGCTGCCACTGCTTGGGAACCCGCAACCCCAGCAATAAAGATAACTTCGAATCCGGGAAGGCAATCCGGGCTACTTGGCCCCAGATACCCCTGGCTTCGTCCCACATTGCAGACGCCTCCACACATTCTAGTAGGCAATGCTGCATTGTTTCTGGTATTCCTTCCTGGCATACCCTGCATATCTCACTCTCCTCACTTCTCTATCTGTGGCTTCTTCTTTCACTAAGCCATACATTCACTGGGA